TCACATTTTATTAGAATTTTAATAATGAAAAAAAAAATAAATAAATAAATAAATAAAAATACTAAATAATTTAGCTATTATTTTTTTATTTATTTAATTGGCATATATTTTTAGTTTCACTTCCTTTTTCGAAATGTTATAAAACATCCTTCCACAGCAATGTTGATCCCTGATTTGGCCCACTGTGCAGCAGCTATTTCTGCTGCCAGCTTAACAAACTCAAATGTTAGTTGTCTTGACAGATTAAACTAGGTTTACATTCAGTTTCAAATTGAATCATTGCCACAGTTAGCTAGTTGAAGTGTGAAAAAAACAAGGAATATTTAAACTGTTTATGTGTTCAAATTTTGGTCGACTTTCTGCCACTGTGGCTGAACTTCTGCCCGGCTTCCATTGTCGTTGCATGCATCTGATGTAGCGTCAGTATTTTTTATTATGCGCTTATGCAAATAAAAATTTCGCACTAAAAATTCCATAAATTTGTTTTTTATACGCCGCCCCCTCCCCGCAGCCATAGCCAGCACACGCTCTGTCTATCTCTAGTGAAAATTCTATTACAGTTGGAAGAAAAAAGAAGTGAAAGGAAGCTTGGACGCAGCGCCATAAACATCAGTCAAGATACTCGAACCCGGCTGCTGCGCGCCTCTGCCTCTGCCACTGCCCCAGCCTCTGCTCTGCTGCAATACATTAGACATTTTAATGCAGAAGCAGGCGCTTCAATTGCTTAAATTACCAAGTTTATTGCCAAGTCTCGACAAGGTGTCAAACTATGCAGGAAGTAAAGTCGACTTCCTAAAAAAAGAAAAGGAGAAAGGGCGGGGCGACAGCGTGTCGCCTTCGTAGATTTTAATTTGGAATTTAAGGGCAAATTACCGAGCTGCCTGCTGATAAAGAAGCCAAATTGTAAATTGTAAATGAAATTATGTACTTTGTGTGTGCGTCAAAACACAGCCAGCCCCAGCCAGCCTCGCAGGGCGAAAGAAAAAGGCAAAAGGTGTTGTTGATGCCGCTAAAAAATTTGTTTACCAGCGCGCGAGTAATCAAGCGTAACTATATACAGCAGCGGGAGCAGCAGCAGAAGAAGAAGAGGTAGAAGAAAAAATGGAAAGTAGGAAGTGAGTGACTGAGCGCTGAGCAGAAAATACAGACTGAATATCTTAAGCGAGTTAGAATGGGTCAGAAGGGCTCTGATCGACTGCAGCATGCTCGCCTAGGGATGCAAAGAGGAGGAAATGAGGAAATTGATGTGGTGTATACATTAAGAGTCTAGCTTTAAGCTTTAGCTCTGTGGTTATCCAGACTATAAAAATACTTAGAATTTTAAAAATATTTTAAATTAATCCTATAAAGTACAGGTCTATCTGTAGAGGCATCAATTATGATAGTCCATGCTCAAATGTAGATTTTTCATATGCCACGCCCTCATAAGCATGCATTGTCATAGGCTTTCATATAGAGCTTCACATGTAAGAAGTAAAGTAAATGCAAAATGATTGTTGATTATAGATCAGTGGTGGATTGAGTTCTCTTCGATTTGCCACGCCTTATAGATATATATGTATGTATTATATATAGTCAATGCTTAGATAAACGCAACACACATTCCACTTGTTGTTTTCATACATACAGTTTGACAAAGAAGATCAATCTATGATATAAAATACATATCATCATTATACAATACTATCAATTATATTATCAAATATTTTTTTACCTTATAGTACATCTAAACGTCTACATTTCTTCTTCTTCTCTCACTCCTAGTGTAATTTAAAATTAGCATATCTAATATTCTAGTGTAAAAAAATTAAATATCTCTCTCCTCAATTCTCTCCCCACAAAGAACACCGCCCAGCCCAATAGATCTTCTCAATTGCCACCTCCACAAAATGTATTCTAAGTTCTCCTTCAACTCACTAAATCACATGGATAAACAGAAAGCTAGAGAGACAATTGCGAAAGCCAATATACTCACTTTTACACTATCTGCAAGAGTGTGAAAAAATAAATTGCTTAAGCAAAGGTAAGAGAAGGCAGAGTCCGAGGGAGCGAGAGCGAG